GAGTGTGACACACCATGGGCCTCTGGCTGGTTTTGCTTTTAGACTGTATAAAGCTGATTAAAGACTCTGAAAAATGATTTTACTTGCTTTGTAGAAATATCCTGTGTGGGGGATCTGTTCTTCCTTGCTTTTGCGGGAGTCTGTGTACCTGTCTGGGTCCTGCTGCCAATTCCCTTGGTTGCAGAGATGAAGGGCGAGAGAGAAGTTGCTTTTGACTTAACACAGACCTCCTTTCTCCAAAGTGTCCTGTGGGTGTTGGAGTAAAAGAGCGCCACAAACATACAAAACCACCAGGAATTAAACAGGCTGATTCGGGATATACCTAAAAGAGCACGAGCGCCGCACCCCCACTTGCTCCATCAAGCAGCTGCTGCCTAGCCAGGGCGACTCTTGAGTGAGTGCAAATTGGTCTGATCCAACATGGCAAGTCTCTAGTCTGCTGTCCTGCCTCTGGTAGCTGCTGCTCAGGAATTCTTGCACCACCCTCTGAATAGATAGTGCAGGAATAAGCGGTCTAGAGAGAGCACTCTTTGAAACACCCCGTCCCAGCAGTTTGCTAGATCGTGTTGTACAGGCAAGGTGCCGAAACGCTTCCCTGTACAAAAGATTCCTCAAGGCGCACTTGCCTCTCCCTTGTTTGCAGCAGGCCTGCAGTATTCACGGGGGAAGGCCCCTGGGGATGCAGAAGTGGCGCTTTTCTCCAGTTCAGTTGTGTTCCGGTTTGGCCGAGAGATGAACTCTCTCTAGCTCCTTCCTTGGGCCGGCCTTGGCAGGCTGCTAGAATGGCCGACCGCCTACGGCTGGGCCAACCTCGCTGCTGCAGCGGCACGTCCCTGCCCTGGGAGCTGCCGGAGTAGCTGGATGATTGTGGGGAGGGGGAGCCGAGCCCCGTAGACTCCTCGTGCCTGCCCCCAGGCACCGCGCGGAACATGAGTAAGTGGTCCCCGAAGGCCAGGGGGATGACGGGGGTGAGGTCCCTGTCCAAATATCTGCATTAGAAATCTTGTTAGACCCTTCAAGTGCTGGCCTTTTGCAAGGAGCCAAAGGGAGTTGGGAGTGCAGGGGGCCCAACTCCCGTTGGATTTCAGCGGGCAAAGAGCACCAGCTATCTTAGGTGCTTTTGAAACGCCCGGGCCCAGCAGACGCCGTGGGGGTTACGGCCTCTTCCGCCCTGTCTGCCAGGCGGCTCCTTGCAAGCCGCTGAGCAGGCCGTCACCTGCACAGCCAGTGCCGCGGCGCCAGGGTCTGGCCAGCTCTGTGGATTGAGTCAAGCCGTTGTCAGCCGCTTGTGGAAGGCGAAGTCGGGCTGGCTAAGCCCCGTTGTGACTTCCCCAAGCCGGCGGTAAGCGGGGCTGTGAACGTGTCACCGGGTAACTACTGCGCTTGATGCTTCTCCAGCTCCCTTTACGATTAAACTCCACCTGGGGCCTGCTGGCCCGGCTCTGGGCTGGTGGCTGAGATTCCCGGGTGGGGTGGTGGTTGGCAGCACCCCCCCCCG